AGGCGCGACTTGGTACGCACACCGCTGCAACGCACGCCCCCTCTTTCTCACCGGGCTGGAGCCCTCGAATCAGGCTTCATCTGTACACAGGATCTATCCGCCTCCCCATCCCCGGCCGCCTGACTTGCGTGTTCCTTTTTTACTTTTTAAACTGCTTGTACACAATAGTGCTGCTTTCTGGTCTGATCCCTTGAAAGACCACATTATTTCCAAGAAAGGATATTTGTAGATGAAACCTGCGGTTGTACTGTTCTGTCGGGTGCCATGGCAGAGGGGGAGCGTTGGTGGGAATTTCGTTCGGCTTCCTAGGCTGGAGATTTTCAGGGGTCGTGTTCCGGCCTCTCCGTTGGACATATGTAGGAACTACTTAGAAAGTTGTTAGTACTATAATGATGTTTGCTCTGCTCATCCGATTCTAATAAACCTGTGGTGGTTTTCTCCCTGGACAAACCGCCTTGTAACTCTGGGCGAGGTTGCATGAGCACCTACTAGCGTTCCTAAACGCGAGGTTGGCCCTGGCGCAACCGAGTTTTCGGTCGGAGCAAAATAAACAGGACAAAACGAGTGCGTGGGGCGTGGTTGTCAAATCTCCACTCGATCAGGCGTTTGCCTAGCTTCCTCATTGGTTAAGTCTTGGTCCGTAAGGCCCCGCATCCCAACCAGTAATTTGCCCCGCAGTCACCTCTGATACGAGAATGGTAACAAGACTTGTTTTACAAGTGGAGCATATGGGAAATTGGAAAAAGAGCTGGTCAGATTCGGTTTAAAATACTAAAGTTGTCATGCCAGTGTTGCTGTCGGGCTGGGCGTTCCTGTCACTGTCGTTCAATCTCGCCGAATGCTGGCGTCTGTCCACGTTCAGACCCAGTAGGTGGTTCCTGGGTTTGCTTTCGCCGCCGGCTGACCCCTGTTTTCGTCCGCCTCCGAGGCCTGTCCATACTCGTCCGTGTTCTCGCTTGGTCTGGGTTTGACTACTTCCGTCTCGGGCTTGACGTCTCCCCCGTAGTCCTGCCTATTGACTTCATCAGTGAGGCTTAGTAGGCAGCCGGCAAATTTACGCTGTGGCTGATCTATGCATTTTTGGTGTGCCATGCTTCGAGCGTCTCCCTGACCGGTTGATCGCGCCCTTGTCCCAAGACTTCGATGTCTTGGCATGCGAAAACATGGCCAGAAGCTGCGCGCTCCTCCGCCACCAGCAAGAGCTGATCCATTCGTCGTACAGCTCGTGCGCGCCCGTTGTTGCGGGTCTGCAATCTTTTCCCGGTCTCCCAAACGCAGTTCGCTTCAAAGGAGCTGCTTTGGATCCGATAGACGACGTTGGCTGTTTCATTGCGTGGCAGAGGCGTTGTTGGTCTCATGACCAGACGTCTAGTTATTGCTTCGGACTTGTGGGCGATGCCGATACCCATTGGTTGCAAGATAGGAGCAACTGCCTCGGAAACAATCACAATATATGGCAGTGTTCACCAGACTTTTAGCTGATTTGCCATTAGCTTTATTATCGGACTTGACCCGATTTGCAGTGACAGAGAATGGCAGGTGGCGAGGCACTGACGAATTTCGGTTAAATGAGTCAGGTAGACCCCAGTGGTGGACTGGCTGCGCCAGGGGTGTGAGCGCATGTTTGTATTTCCAGTCTAAAGTGGTGCACAGGCTTATACTCGGCTGAATGAAAGCAAACATGCCCGAAACATCGCTGTTTCGATATATCCCCCGGATTCTGTCGTCTCCCATCTGATATATACATATAAGGCCCCTCCTTGAACACTTATTTCCATGCTTCGCGCCAAATAATTTCTAGTATTTTTAGCTAACTATTTGTGTAGTCACGTGCCGGTAAAAACAGCTTTATCGCTTCTTGGCTTACCTGCATGTGTACAAATGTTTGGGTTGCTTGAATTGTCTAACACATTTCATGTTATGTACATGTTTCTGACCAACGTTACAGCTAAGGCTTGGTTACATCCGTTTTTTATGTTGTAATTCTATTTTTCGCGACCATTTGAATGCTTATCCGCATGCTATATTATTCCATCACATCCGTAATGTTAGCAGGGATTTACATTGCGAAGCAATAATATTTTTATTTCAGTTTATTTTTAGAAAAGTTAACCACACACATTTCAACTCCTTGTAAGTTGCGCGCAGCGGGATTAGGCCAAAAATTTAAAAAAAGTGATGACACGAAG